TCGGAAAAAAAAAAGTATTTAAATTATATAAGTTGGCCTCCTATTAGAGAGGCAAATTTTTATCGTACAGTTTGGTGAACCATCAACCTAAATTATGATAAAAGCTTCCAACTTAAACTATCCTGGGGCTTTTCCCAAATTAAGCCAAATTAGCAACTTAATTCCCAAACTAGGTCTAGTTTGGACGGAATTCCCAAAGTAGGCTAAAATGTGGTTCACAACCACGCTTTCAATGTTTTTGCGACTGTCGCGCGGAAATTTCCTGAAATCGTAAAAGCGTGTTTCCAAACTACACTTTTAATTAAGAAAGTGTGGTTACAAACCACGCTTTTAATTAAAATTTTTTTCCCGAAAGCGTGGTTCACAACCACGCTTTTAATTAGAATTTTTTTTTTTTGAAAACGTGGTTGTGAACCACGCTTTTAACTAAAAATTTTTTTCTTCTGAAAACGTAGATGATAACCACGCTTTTACTTTTCATGTAATTTTTTTTTTTGGTGATAATGTAATTCAGAAATTTTTTTTGGCTTTACTAAAGCTGTTCTCATGTTAATTTTTTTTTTTCTTTTGTCTTTGTTTTGGGTTAGAAGGTGTAATTCAGAAATTTTTTTTGGCTTCATGTAAATTTTTTTTGCTTTTGCTTTTTCTTTTGTCTTTGTTTTGAGTTAGAAGGTGATAATGTAATTCAGAAATTTCTTTTGGCTTTACTAAAGCCGTTTTCATGTAATTTTTTTTTTCTTTTGTCTTTGTTTTGGGTTAGAAGGTGATAATGTAATTCAGAAAACCGGTCTAGTAAAACCGTTTTCTAGCCGTTTTCTTTATTTTTTTTTCTTTCGTCTTTGTTTTGGGTTAGAAGGTGATATACATGCTCTACAGTCCGAAGCACACCCACACACTGTGCAGTTTGACGAACAACGACGAAGGGTGAGACATGAAGAGCACCGCGGAGGAGGCCAAGAAGACGAAGGCCACCGCGAGAGCTGCAGCAAGAAGGAAGAAGAGAAAGACCTCAAATTTTGGTGATGTATTTGTTACATACGAATGGTACTTTTTTCGTTTTTTGCCATGTAATGTAACTTGTATGTAATTTGAATTCTGATTACGAACAGGAACTTATGTAATGTAAATATTGGGTTGGAGTTGATGTTATTGTGATTCAATTGGTTTCGCTTATCTCATAAGACTGATGTTGTGCAATGAATGAATGTTTTGAAAGGTTATTTGTTTTATTCAATTGGTAGTGTATTTTTTGTAAGAATGAGAACGTTATTTGTTATATTTAATGAATAATGGTTACATTTTTGGGTTGTCACGATTGAGAAGATGAACAAGTTAAGAGAATGTGTATTTCCCATAAAATAAATTTTGTCAACATTTTTGTAATAAAACTTAGTGCATAATATACGAAGTCACTAATTTACTAAATACTCATACAGGCATGAAAACAACATAACTGAAGTTGCAAATGTAACAGTTTTCAGTTACATAGGTAGTATAGACATAAGTCTCCCACAAAAATACATTCTAGACATCATGAACTGAACACACAATACATAAACATAACAGTTAGATAGACAAATATTAGGCAGACAATCTGACAAACTCATTACGGAAACACTTAGTCTAACACATACATTACATATTAATGCATGACCTAATTTTGCCGAAGTATAGACATAAACACCTAATTTGCGTTTAAATCGGCAATCTCAGAGTCTGAATAATCCGAAAGCTCAGGGTTAGATAAAATTTTCTAACCACTCGAAAGACAAAAATTATATAAAAATGATTTATATTTACAAAAATTATATAAAAATTATGTTTGATATGAGTGTGTGAGTGTTGTGGATGTGTGTGCCAGAGAGAGAGAGAGAGAGTGAGTGTGAGTGTGTGTGAGAAAGAAGAGTGAGTGTTGGTTTTGATTTTTTTGTTGAATTTTTACATTTTGGTTAAAAGCGTGGTTATCATCCACGGGTCAATGGTAAAAGCGTGGTTTGCAACCACGTTTTCTGAAGAAATTTTTTTTTTACTTAAAAGCGTGGTTTCTAACCACATTTTATGTATAAATCAAATTTCCTTAAAAGCGTGGTTTGTAACCACGTTTTTTTAATTAAAAGCGTGGTTTGTACCACGCTTTTAAGATTTTACAAATTTTCTGCGGGAAGGCCACAAAAACGGTGAAAGCGTGGTTTGTATCCGCGTTTCAGCTTAGTTTGGGAATTCTAGCCAAACTAGGCCTACTTTGGGAAATAAGTTACTATTTTGCCTTAATTTGGGAAAAGCCCCTAATTTGGGCAATGATTTAATTGTACGCATGTAAGTGGGAGCAATTTAAAAAACACTTATTTTGTTTTATTTTGATAAAGTAGACAGATATATCACTAATTTTCGTTTCAGCTTAGTTTGAGAATTCTGTCCAAACTAGGCCTACTTTGGGAAATAAGTTACTATTTTGCCTTAATTTGGGAAAAGCCCCTAATTTGGGCAATGATTTAATTGTACGCATGTAAGTGGGAGCAATTTAAAAAACACTTATTTTGTTTTATTTTGATAAAGTAGACAGATATATCACTAATTTTGAATCTGAAGGCATTATGAAGATTCTTGTTTTATTTTTCTCTTCATATAATTTTATAGTATAATTTCTATCAAGTATTGTATTTATTCAGTGAGATTGGACAAAATTGGACAAGTCATACAAAAATCTTATATCATAGTGTAAGTTTTGTATGAAATTATTATTTTTTTCATTGAGTTGAAATAACTCGACTGATTTTGTATGACTTGTTCTTAATTTTTATTTCAAACATTATTCTTAATATTTTAAAACCGGCGATCCAATTCTTGAGATTTATAGACAATTAAAGAGAAGTTACTTTTATTTGCTCAAGCTTGTGCCATTAGGGACCTTAATGACAAAGTTATTTCTTATGTGAAATGGTAACCCTCGTCCACTTTTTAGAGGTCATAGAGGCTTTGTTATGAAATTCAAACAAAAAACTCATTTTGGCTTGTTTTGAAAAGTAAGAAAAAAATTTAATTTATTTAATCTTTTTTTTAAACATACAAAAAAAATAGAGAAATAATATAATCAAAATAACCAATAAATTAATTTTTTCATGTTCTCAAAAGAGGCTTGTGCCTTAACTTATGGGCTTATGTTGGTAGTTAAATCTATGTAGTAAATTTTGGATACTAATCCATGTCAATCTATTGGGCCATCCGGAGCAATTATTTGGTATTATGAAACACAGGCTTAGCCATCAAAGTGCCATTTTTTTTTCTTTTCTTCTTACCTGAGAAATTTCTATAGACTATTAATTAGAATGTTTTAAGACTCTCTTTTGATGCATATATTATAATTTTAAATTTAATCGAGGTGTGTATAAATTGACTTAGATACTCAGTTATAAAAGATAAAAATAAAAAATTTGAAAGTTAATAATTATGAGTTGTAATTTTATATTATTTCTAGTAAAGTATGGTGATATTTGAAATACTTCTCCCAAATTCCCAATCATGAGTCGTTTCAAATAGGGCCGCAAATGAGCTGAACTTTTCATGAACAAGCTCTACTGAGCTTGTTAAGGGCTTGGCTTGATTCGTGAAGCTCGACTCTTTTATTTTTATTTAAACAATATAAATAACATTAAAAAAAATTATCGAGCCCAACCGAGTCAAACTTGAGTTTCATTAATATTAATGAGCTCTCATTGTTAAACAATCTTCATTGTATTTAAATAAATTAAATACTGTTGTGTACTAAACAACAACCAGAATATGAAGAAATAAAGAAAATGAGAGAATTTGTTTGATTACAAAAATCAAATTCGAAATACAAAAAAATAAAAAATAAAAACAGATTTTATTTTGTTACAAAAATAAAATTAAAATCTGATTTAAATAAATAAAACAGAATAATAAACTAAACAACTTACTTGATTAATTTCTTTAAATAATTATCTGATCAAGTTCAGTGTTTGATATTGTGTCCTTAAGACAGATTCGTCCTCTCCACGGTGCTTTCAGAATTTGGACGTCTATCTCCCAAGATAAAATGATCTACTACAAACAATAGCAACACTACAAATTGTTTGCCTAACGAACACACTAAGTGTTTATACTCTCTCTGACAAGAAAATAATGCAGCAAAATGAAGAGGATGTTTGCAGAATTACGAAGGACGAAAATTAGAGTTCTAAAATCCAAATGAGGGATGTCCTATTTATAGAGGTAATAGTGGCTGTAGGTTTTGAATTGAACAGGTATGAAACCTGTTGGTTTTGAATTCAAACAAATTTGAATCTGTTTGATTACAATTCAAACAGATAACAAAAATGAGAAGGGCCCTGTTTGGGTGTACAGTAAATCCGGACCAGTTTAATTCCGGTTTGAAAACGGGAAGGGCCCTGTTTGGATGTACAGTAAAACCAAACCAGTTTAATTTTGAATTCTGGATTTTATTTTACAAAAAATAAAATTAAATTCAAATGTTTTTAGCCCAAAAAGATTAATATTGGGCCGAACAAGCCCAACCCAACCACACACCCAAGCCCATAACCATGGAACCAAACATTTTTCTTTGGTTTGGTTCTTGCTCATTTCCATAGGTTCTAATGATTCAGCTCGTTTCGGCTCGGCTCGATCCCAATTTTTTTTAGAACTGTTCATCTTAGAACAGAACCAAAACCCCAACACCAATGTAATTAAAGTTTAAAAGAGATGTGGAAACAAAGGAAACAGAGAGATGAGCATATATTTTACAGTCCAGAACAAGTTTACAGAACAAGAATTATTATAGGAGTCATATAGGTTTCACAATACATAATTGAACAAATTTCACTTTAGTCCCTCATGGCTTAACCTATTTGCGCACAACCCTTATCATTTATAAGGACATAATTCCCTATGATTTCTAGACTAAAGAGTACCGTTGGACCCATTAAAAACTAGATTAAAAAAAAAAAAAACTAAAATATCCTTATACATAAGTAATCTCATTGCGTAAAACATGGACATTTTCGTTATTTTTTTAGGAGACAAAATTCCCTTTAACCTCGATGTACTATTTTCATCTTGGCATGCACTTAACATTAAGTTAGGTGGAAAGCGATATATTTCGGTTTACAAACCATATAAATGTTATTTCCAAATGAGCCAAACTACGCGGAGGTAAAATGAAATTTACCTTACATAATTTAAGGATATATCTCAATGAGGGACCTTAAACCAAAGATGGGTGTGATCTTGTAGTGACTAAAGCCAGCCTCTAAGAAAATCTTTTCCCATTCTTTCTCACTTCTTTCTCTTCCAGTGACCAAAACCATCATCAATATGTCAAAAACAAGCTTTGTCTCAGTAATGTCATGTTCATCTCTGTCCCCATCTACCACCATGTCTATGATGATAACCTTTCCTCCATCTTCCTTGCTTGGAATAGCTTCTCTGCATCTCTTCAGTATCTTTACGCAGTTCTCGTCACTCCAATTGTGCAAAACACACTGCCATTTTCAAGTCCAAAAACACATTCAAGTTCAATTGATTATCTTAAAGTTTACTTTGCTTATCATATGAACATTAATTGCTTTATAGAATACTTCTCAGAATAATTCAGCGACAAATACTTGAAAACTGTTTTTCTAGTATCAATTGTCAGTACCGAGGAATTGGATAAAATGGCCCAAATAATGAATCAGAGCACATGCAGCCATCTCCTTAACTTATGGTTTCCTTGTTTTTCCTTAATGAAAGAAATAATGGGAGAAAAATGATAATTTGCTACAATTCTCCTAAATTGTACACATTTTTGGTGTTAATAGGAGTGGAAAATTAAAGTTCTTTGACGTATATAACCTTTTCAGATAGTTTTATTGTTAAGTATAATTTTGATTTCGTCAATCAATATGTCCGTTCAACAAATAAATAACAGTTCTATAGATCAATATGTAGGATCTTGGATCATCAAAAATGATTTCTCTTTAGAATTCGGCTATTTGATCAATCTATACTGAAGCAACTCAACATCAAATTAAATCCAAAACACAAAAAAATAAAAGTAAATAAAAGACAGAAATTTACTGAAATAACTTAATGAGAGAGGAATTGCCCTACATATATGATGCAAATCCTAAAATTTGCTTAATTACCAGATTCAATCACTGGAACTAAGAATTCAAAAAATTGCATACCTTGAAGAAAATGGCATCCGCGGATGGGAAAGACTTAAACATATTGCCCCCAACATAGTTCAAGTTCTTCTCCTCTGGCAAGTTCTCAACAACATGTGGAAGATCAAAAACAGTGCATTTTATACCAGGAAACGCCTCGGAAATGATCCGAGCATTGATACCGGTACCACCCCCTACATCAACCAATGAATTCAGTCCTCCAAACAGTGCCCCACAGTCTCTAACCACCAAGCTCATCATTCTTGAGTCACTGCCCATTGCTTCATTGAAAGTGTTATTGAATTTTGGGTTTTTGTCACAAATCACAACGCGGCATAGAACGCGTTACCACTTTTTGAACTTGAGATATTACCGTTTGAGAGTCTATCATAACAAAGTCCAGAAATTTACCGACGACAAATTTCTTCGTGTCGACATCCTTTGTCTTGTATTTCTTCTCCAAAGAATTCCACAATTCTTTTGCTGTTTTCAGAGGCCTGTATACATTATACAGCATATTGTCAAGGCCATTTAGGATGTAGTTTCTGCACAGGAAATCTGAATGTTTCCAAGCATCTACAGCGGCAACAACTTGCCGATCACTTTCACCCTCTTTAAGTGCTGGAGCCTCTTCATGGAGAAACCGGGCCAAATTAAGAGTTGTAAGATAGAACAGCATCTTCTGCTGCCATCTCTTAAACTCGGTACCGTTAAATTTTTCCGGTTTTTCTCCATGATTGATTGGTACATGAACATAAGAGGTTTAGATCCTGGTGGAAGATCCACCAATTCCCAAGTATGATTTTGCATAATGGATTCAATTTCATTATTAACAGCCTCTTTCCATAAAGGTGCTTCAGGACCTGTCATTGCTGCCTTAAAGCTTTGAGGTTCATTTTCTAACAAGTATGTCAGAAAATCTGGACCAAAGGATTTTGATGTTTTTGCTCTCTTACTTCGTCTTGGTTCATCATCAGTTAAATCCTGTTGGTTGAGACTATTACTAGTGTCTTGTGTTTGATTGTCATTAGTCTTTTGACTTTGTGTACAATCATAAGTTTTTTTTTGTGAACTTAATTCCTGTCCTTTCTTGTAAGGAAAGACATGTTCAAAAAACACAGCATTCCTTGACTCTATAATAGTGTTCACATTTATATCAGGTATTTCTGATTTATAAGTCAGAAACCGATATGCACTACTATTCTGAGCATAACCAATAAACACACAATCTACTGTTTTTGGTCCAATTTTAGTCTTTTTAGGAACAGAAACTTCAACTTTTGCCAAACAACCCCACACTTTTAAGTATTGGTAGGAAGGCGGTCGACCTTCCCATAATTCATAAGGAGTGCTGTTTGTTTTCTTATGGAGTATTCTGTTAAGAACATAATTAGCAGACAGTATTGCTTGCCCCCACAAGTTCTGTGATAAACCTGAACTTAGTAACATGGCATTCATCATTTCTTTTAGGGTTCTATTCTTCCTTTCAGCAATTCCATTTTACTGTGGAGAATAAGGGGCTGTAGTTTGGTGAATAATGCCATGTTGTGCACAAAATTCATCTAATGGTGCATTATATTCACCACCCCTATTACTTCTGATATAAATCAATGAATTTCAAAACAAATTCAAGAAAAAACCAAAATAATTACGACTAATCAAGTCAGAATTAATGTTTTGACAAAATCATATCCTCATAAAAAATTGTGCCTAAGAATCAAACAATTCAAAAATCCATTTGATTGTATACATTCTTGCAACTCAATAACAAATAAATGTCACTGTCATAAAAATATTTGTGACAGAAAAAAATTAAATTATCTCAATTAATGCAAGAGATACACCCCCATATTAATAAAATGGTTCATGGTTTAACAAATTCTACTACGCAAGTAAAATAATTATTAATGACATCTCATGTCACATAATTCAAAATAAACTAAAAATCAACATAAAAGATTTCTTAAATTTACTTTCCAATTAAATGGAACGATATAACTACATACATTTTCATGTTTAAATTTCTCTGGTGTTTAAACACCTATTCAAAATTGATTGGAAAAACTCAAATTAATCAACATATTAATTTAACATTCCAAATCACATGAAATTTTTGTTAAGAAATAACTTGAGTTGACATCATACATGCATATCAAACACATTAACTAAAAATAATGAATTAACAAAATAAATTAATCATGCATGATCCCAAAATTTGCATTATGAAATAAAAAGATTCTCAACTCATAAATAAAATTCAATGCGTTTTGAATTTTAAACTGCAAAATGACAAAACATACCTTCATTTAATAAGTTTGATTTGTACATAAATAAACTAATTAAATATGCGTGCAAAAGTCCTTGTGAATATATATATATATATATGTTATTCCGACTCATATGCAGAAACTATTCACGACTACACATCCACACACAGACATTTAAAAATGATTCAAAAAACCAATAAAGAAACTAAATTTGCCACAAAGGTTTCTTTGTAATAAAAATGAAATTTGTTTGTAAATTAATATTTTACTCCAGAAACAAATTCTCCCATGTACTACGATAAAGTTAAAAGAACTATAATAAATTAACAAAATTAATTTTTTAGTTACTAAAACTAGAAAATAAATTATAACATAAGATAATTTTATTTTTCTTGTTATTTAAACTAGTAAAATAAAATACCGAAATAATATCTGATTACAAAAAATCCGAAAAACAAACCACAAATTAATTTTCTAGTTACTAAAACCAAAAAATAAATTATAATACAAAATCATTTTATTTTTCTTGTTACTAAACTAGAAAATACTATAATTTTATTTTTCCTTGTTACTAAAACTAGAAAATAAAATACCACAAAACTATCTGATTACAAAAATCAGAAAAAACACAAAATAATTTTCTAGTTATCAAAACCAGAAAATAAATTAAAACACAAAATAATTTTATTTTCTTTGTTACTAAAACTAGAAAATAATATAATTTTATTTTCCTTGTTACTAAAACTAGAAAAATAAAATACCAAAATAATTTTCTGTAACACCAAATAATATTCTGCAATTGTTAATGACACCAGTATATTACTACTATGTGTCAAAGAAAAGAGACAGCATATTATTATTATCTGTCAAATAGCATAAATCACTATTTGTTTTTCCAACCAGAATATTACATTGAAAACACAGAAAATTAAATACAATGAAGATACCAAAAACAAAATAAGAATCTGTCTTAAGATTGTTGGACAATCTTCACTGTATTTAAATAAATTAAATACTGTTGTGTACTAAACAACAACCAGAATATGAAGAAATAAAGAAAAGGAGAGAATTTGTTTGATTACAAAAATCAAACTCGAAATACAAAAAAATAAAAAATAAAAACAGATTTTATTTTGTTACAAAAACAAAATTAAAATTTGATTTAAATAAATAAAACAGAATAATAAATTAAACAACTTACTTGATTAATTTCTTTAAATAATTATCTGATCAAGTCCAGTGTTTGATACTGTGTCTTTAAGACAGATTCGTTCTCTCCACGGTGTTTTCAGAATTTGGACGTCTATCTCCCAGGATAAAATGATCTACTACAAACAATAGCAGCACTACAAATTGTTTGCCTAATGAACACACTAAGTGTTTATACTCTCTCTGATAAGAAAATAATGCAGCAAAATGAAGAGGATGTTTGCAGAATTACGAAGGACGAAAATTAGAGTTCTAAAATCCAAATGAGGGCTGTCCTATTTATAGATGTAATATTGACTGTAGGTTTTGAATTGAACAGGTATGAAACCTGTTGGTTTTGAATTCAAACAGATTTGAATCTGTTGGATTACAATTCAAACAGATAACAAAAATGGGAAGGGCCCTGTTTGGGTGTACAGTAAATCCGGACGGAAAGGGCCCTGTTTGGATGTACAGTAAAACCAAACCAGTTTAATTTTGAATTCTGGATTTTATTTTACCAAAAATAAAATTAAATTCAAAAAAGATTAATATTGGGCCAAACAAGCCCAACCCAACCACCCACCACGCACCCGCGCCCAGCCGGACGAATGGCGACGGCGCACGCGTGTGATGATTTTTGGGTCCAATGGGTCTAGCCCATAACCTCTCACTCTAAAACACTTGGGTACCCCTTAGCGCACACCCCAAGTACCAAACCTAAGCCTTATAAACCCATTCAAAGCTTCCCACCAAATCAATGTGGGACAAGCCATTTTACAACCTTAAGGAATTTCCACCAAAACTCTATTTCCATGGAGCACACTTTGGCTTCAATTTCCCATTCACTCGGTAATGGTTTTGAGCAACCAAATATACCACGTGAATCACAACGCGGCATAAAACGCGTTACCACTTTGACCCGTGAAAATCGACGCACGGGGCCCACCTAAAAAATAGACCAAACTTAGGAAAAAAATTATTGTTTTATCCAGAATTTTATAACCATTTCCAACACTCTCATTATGTGTTAAAAATTAGGTATGCTTCTTTCAGGTCTCAAGTTGAACTCTCAGTATGTGTCATGTTTATAGGTATTATTTGAGATTTGTCCGATTTACGTGGAAGGGACGTTTGGTGTGGATTCTAAGATTAGTCAAGAAATACGTAAACTGATTCAGACATCCGACTATTATAAAAATATAAAGCTTAATTGAATAAACATAATCTAGACGCATAGGGAATAAGTCAATTGGCTAGTTCAAGTGCGTAAAAGTTATCAAGAATGAGTCATTTTATAAATCAAAAATTTTAATTTTTTCAAACATAATTTTTAAACAAAATTTTTTAATTTATATAAAATGTTTTGGTAATAGCATTTTTGAGGACGACTTCAAAGGCCTCTTTTGGCAAAGAGGTTAAAAGTTTTTTTTTGACTTCTAATTTTTTTTTAGTCACATCATTTCTCTACTATTTTTATACGTTTTTCCAAAAAAAGTTTTTTTTTTTAAAAAAAAACAAAAAATTAGCTTTTAACATATTTCCTAAAACAATCCAAAAAAATTGTTTGTACTAGTTATAGTGGCCTAATGATGTAGCTTAAGAGATAAGCGAAAGAATAAGAAGATTTAACCATATAGACAGGATTAACAAGCAAAAAATAAAATTTTCAATTCAAAAAAAATAGAGAGGATTCACAATTAAAAATTCAAAACCCTAATTTCAAAAAATATAGACAGGATTCACAATTCACAATTCACAATACAAAAAATATAAACAGGATTAGAATTATATTTATTATAAAAGTTATTTAAAATTAGAATTATATTTTCTTGTAAAATTTTCACCTTAACCAAATTTATACAA